AAGAGCACTAAAACTTCACAAGATATACAACAAAAGCGCAATGGAAGTCCTGGGGAGACTGTATTGAGTATGGTAGTATAATACAGGCATTGAACAGTTTATCTAGAAAAACAGATATTGGTGGCATTGCATATACAAACATTTGGTTTATAAGCACTAATGTTGCAAGATTCACCTGGCAATTTAGGTCTTCTCCAAACCTATGAACAAGTCTCAAGTGCTAGAAATCAAACCACGGAACCGACAATATTCATAGGTTGGTTTTAATGATATTGTTATATTAAAAATTAAAAAAAATAGATCAAAATATTTTTTCATTTGAATTTAATTGACACAGTGCCGAATTACTAAATTAAAATTAATTTCTACATTTAATAATTTGGTGTGGCATCACAAAAATGCAAAATACATTATTTATTTTATATACTACATAGACATCTTCATGCAGAGTTGGGATTTTACTTCTAAAATTAAACTTATTTCCAAAAAACACCTAAGATCTACCCAGTGAGGGTCAAACGGATTCAGGCGAGACTGTAACACCCAACCTCAGGCCTCCAGGCCTTTTTAAAAAGCACAGCTTACATGGTCCCTACAAGACTGAATTCACAAGTAACTCAATTATGCAGAGCAAGGTATCTGCCATCACTGTAGATGTGACAGTTGCAAATGAGATGAAAATCAGTATTTTGAGAACAAGATGCTACTGCTAAACAATTACAAAACAAAATACCACAGTCTGTTTTCGCCATTTGAAAGACTTTTCACATACCAGCTGGCACTGAAAAGGCCACTTTGCACTTGCTCAGCCAAAGATACTCTGGGCCTAAGAGAGTCTCTAACAGGAGAAGTGAAGGGATACAAATGGGGCTCTCAGTCACGGCATTGGGGAAGAACCTTGTAGCTCCTCTAACGGATAAAAAGCATCAAAATAGCCAGATGCTTGTGGTAAGGAAAAATAAAAACAAGCCCAGCTGATGACTATTCATTCAGCAGCTGCTTTATTCTCTGCTGCAGCTGCTCTCCCTGTTAGGAAGTTGGTTGTTAATCCCCAGCCGCCAGCTGCACGTGCCTCAGGCAGCTGAAGCAAGCCGGCACGCAGATGCTGCACAGCAAGCGCTGAATTGCTCCATGAAACCTGCTCGAGAAGTGTCATAACAGGGACACTTTCCTCTAAAACTCTGTCGTGGAAGACTGAGGGCATTTCTATTAGCTTCTATACACGTACAGTCCTGCTTAGTTTCA